ATTTTTTTTTTTTTTTAATAAACTAAAAAAGTGCATAAAATTTTTGAAAAAAAACAGAGTTTATCGATACATAAAATTCTACGTTATCTAATTAAAGATTACAATTTTTTTAAAATAATGCATAATATATTGAACTTTCTCGTATAATTCTTGATAAATTCTTATAACAAATTGTATAAAATGTCGTTTGTAGATTCGATAACAACCATTTGACAGTTGGAAATCATATCCAAGATTTCAGTGAAGTTGGATCCTTTGGAGGTGGAGGATGGAACTTGGGCGCAGAGGAATGGAATCCCCATCAAACCATATCCATCGGTGAACACGTAGAAGTTTCCAAGCCAATTCCTATACCCGTCATTAAAAATATTGGTAAGCATTTTAGATCTTGCTGCAAAAAAAAATTTTGAAAGTTAAATATTTTTTATACCATTGGTGACTGAATTAATAAAACAATTTATCAACACGTAAAAAATATTGACAATCAATAGTTCCTATCATGCATCTAACAGAGATTTTCTGCCTAATTTGAAAAAAATTTTATAATATCATTCAAATGTTTCTCTCGTTGGTGATTTTCTTTTTTTTTTCAAATAAAAGTACTTATTTCCTTATCTGATATGATACAATAATATCTCATGAAGCTATCATACAAAATTTCAAAATGACTGTCCATGCACAGAAACGAATTTTTTTCTAAATATTAAGTTAATCGATGAATGACGTAATATAATTTATACAGCAGAAGGAAATATTTTCCAGGGGTACCTGTACTCAAGCATATCCGCATCCCAGTGGCTCATATTACTGCTGTAGGAGTACCCGTACCATATCCAATTCACGTACCTGAGGTTCAACCAGTGACAATACCTGTGATAAAGACTGTAGCAACGGTAATTGTTTATTTATTTATTTATTTATTTATTTATTTACGATACAAATCACATAAGACCTATTAGTTTAATTAAATAAGTCTATTAAAATTATCATCAAGCTCTCTCAGTCCGCAAAAATATAATAATGTTGAACTACCCGATGTAGTCAATCATCATGAGATATCATTTTTCGTTTATCACAAAATGCACTTCATTGTTTTAAATGATGGTGAAAAGTTGAATAGTAGTTAAAATGTATGAAAAGTCAACTGATTATCGTATGATAAGACAGAAAGCAGTAAGTTTTTGTAGTAATAATTTTTCTTTATTCACAGATAGTTGAGAAAAAGAAGCTTGTGCCCATAGAAAAGGTCACCCCCGTACTGGTAGAAAAGCCCGTGCCTATCGAGATCATCAAACATTCCATAATACCACACTACAAGCCTTATCCAAATTACATTCCAATTTACAAACATATCTATCACCGAATCAGGAGCCATGGCTGGGATCGCTAGTACGAAGAGTAGAGTTTGTCGACTTTTGAAATGAGGAAGCTGATAGTTGGCGTTTATGAGGAATAATTACGGAAGTACTGGAATACAAGAAAAAAGTTTACTTTTGGAAAATCCAGAAATGGTTTAGTGAGTTTAACAAGAACTGTGGGCCTACGAAGCAATATGAAAAACACTCAGAAAGAACGTCCTATGGGATTCAAGTGTCAACATAGTTGTATTTTATTGTGTACATCTTTCTTCGCACAATCTTACGTTGAGTTCCAGTACATTTATGAGACTTGACGATTTCGCTATTTAACCATGCAATAAAACTGATCGATTCATTGTCCGTTGAAATAATTAATGATTTAATTTACAATATTTTCATACTCGCGATGATTAGTAATTAGTAAGTAATTATGATATTGTTAAGACTTTAGCGATTTTGACATTTTTCATGGTATATTTGTGAAAGATTGTTGGCTTAGTTTGTAATATAATAACACGCTGTATACTAAAATAAGAATAAGATACTTGATAGCTTTATTTGGATTGAATTTATTGTGCAAATGCATTAGAATAATTAGAATTAGTTGTAAATCCAGATGTTTAAATATCGTAATCACACTATAAAATTAGTTATTTGTACTTAGTCCATTATTTGTTGAAATAATCACTGCGAATTTCAATGTGCCAATCGTATTAAGTGCTAATGTCATTATGTTAGAAATTGGAAACGACTGCTGTTTCTAAAAACAAAGATCAAAAATATCGACGTTGAGGCATTATTAGATACGTAATGTGTACATAATATATTGTCCATAATAAAGTATACTCGTTGTCCACATAGTTAAATCGTATTCATTCTTCGGCTACCTAATATGATCATCGTTCGATACGTTATACCGTATCAATAAATATCTAAGCGTATATCATTCAAATTTCTATGCTTTGAATAAAGCATCACAGCAATGATTAACACGTGTCCAATGAACACTCAAATCAATCTACAACCCACTTTTTTTAACTAGTTTTATCTATTCGTACGGTTCTTCGTAGTTATTGATACACGTACTTTACAAGATATGTGTGAAACGTTAGCAAATGTCTTAAATCATTAACATGATGGCTCTGCTGTTTATATAGTATTTTCACGCCTATGAAAAAAGAAAAAAATAATAAATAAAAAAGCTAGTAAAATAAATGGCTTGATTACCAATTTTCTCGTTTACCGTACATTTCAGTTCATTTAACCACCAACTACGATAGCTCTTTTTTTCCCAGTGTCAATCGGCACTTTGAACTCCATTACGCTCAGAAAAACAAAGGAGTAAGAGTCAACACCAGAAGGCGTCGATTAAAAGCAGCTGCTAACGAAAAGACGCAACTGCGCTATTACTTATGCGTCTAGGATGGTTTTTTACACCCTGCCATAGTATACATTAGTACACAGGAGCTGGAGTGTGGTGAGCCCGAATCATTTTACAAGAGCCGAGCTGCACGTGACTCCCTTCCCCCCTCAAGGTTAATGACGCCAGGAGGCGAAAGTTTAAAGTCAACCAGTCCCCTCGTATCATTTGCAAAGCCATAACGATCGTGTAAACAAGAAATTAGCGGCTTGTAATTTCTCGAGAGGCATGCGAGTGTCAGACCAGCGGAGGCGGCTGGGCCAGCACTTTGTCGTCCGGCGTGGCGCGACCGTCTGTTACTGTTATACACGAGTGTTGAAGAAGTAACACGGGCTGGGGAATGCTGTTGCGGTCTCTTTTTGCTCGGCTACCGTGACGCGTTTACCACTAATTTGCGAGCAATGGCTGTTCTACGTCTCTTCTAGTTGTCTTTCTTATTTATTTACGTTTTTTTTTTTTTTTTTTTTTTTTTTTTTTTTTTTTNTTTTTTTTTTTTTTTTTTTTTTTTTTTTTTTTTTTTTTTTTTTTTTTTTTTTTTACGTTCTCGTGGACGTTTCTGAATCTGCTTTTTTGTTTCTAGTTTGATTTATTGCACTGGATGTGTGGTATTTAATAATTGAAGATTGGACTGCTTTGTGGAGTAAAGAATTTTTTTGGGAATATTGTATTTACATTGTGTTGGTCGCTTTTGCTTTCTCGGTGGAAATAATTATCTTTGTTTCCTGCTCTTAACTCATTTTCAGTGGTCAAAAATATTTCAAGGATGTAATACAGTAAGTGTCTCGGTCTTGGGTACATCCGCTTCCACGTTGATCTTTACCCAACACTTTCTTTGCTAATAAGCTGTGAAAAAGTATTTTTTAAAACCCACTAACAGTGTATTGCACAAGCTTCTTTATTCTTATTTTTTTTTTTTTGGTGTTTTCTATAAGTCTTTTTTTAATACCTGATGTTGAATTCATAATTTATGTATATATATACATACCATTGAGAAGCCTTAGTGATTTGTTTTTATACTTTTCTTTAGAAGGATCAGTATTTTGCAATTAATTTTATTAACATTTTTTAGGAAAATCCATGATATAATTTGAATCTTTTCAAAGACTAGACCATTTGATGTTATCAGATGACACATGATCTGATTGATTACATACGTATAATTGAATAAAATTGCATTCCTAACATTTATGATAAATTATTTTAAAAACAAAAAATTGTAGGAAATTTTATGAACATGAAGTCATGAGAAAAGGTAAAAAAAATTAAATCAGCGAAAATAAAATTTATGTTTTAGCGGTTATCGAAATCCAACACAAACGAAACGAAGATAATTGAATTGTATTCGATAAAGACAACTATAAAAATAGGCTGAAAACACCGACACACGGAATGTACTTTGATATCTCAAACATTAATTGCATGTTATCATTGCGATAAAAAATGAAAATTCACAAAGCAACATCAACCAGTTGTGCAAAAAAATATTTTTTGTAAAAAAATCAATTTGGCTACTTTAACACTCGTAACACAGCTAACTTCCTTATCATTAGGATGCAATGATAGCTCAAATATTGAACAATTAAGAAACGAATGGTCAAACAAAAGCGCAGTAACTACATCTTCTGCGTATCCCACAACGCAATAGTGGTAAACCAATTTCTGGAAGGAAACTCAATAAAACGCCAACTCCTCCCACATATACTTAATGTCGAAATAGCTCATATGCTCTCCTCCGAGATCGATCGCTTATTGACCGCTGTAATCCCCCAGGAGACTCCACAAGGGAAAGCCACTCCACTCGCAATATCAGTGCAGAGCAAGTCGTAATAGGTGCGTTATCTTTGATTTCCGATTCAATGAGTAAAAAATCACCAAGTATCTCGTTTCCTCGAGCCCTCGTGTATGCACGATATCCATTTGCGGGCAATTAATCCGTGGACTCGCTCAAATTTTCCTGCATTTTGCTTTTCCACGTCGGTGCCCACACGCGAGAGCACTGGACGCATTGTGTCGGGGAACAATTGACCGAAGCCAGAGCCAATTCCCAGAGAAAGGTTTACGGGGCATGTCGCTGCGTTGACAGTGAAAGGGGAAACCGGAGCTGCTTTATTTAAGAAGTCGAGCCATACGAAGATGTACCAGTCCAGTTTCGGTTCTCTTCGTGGTGAACAAAACAAACGCCAAGGCGTTTGGTCTCATACGAGATCTAGAGTGTCCCAGTCATGGCTAAGTTTTTCGTGAGTGCACGTGTGTTTCGATGTTTCCAATTCTGGGCCTCTTTTTACAACGAGACCTTGTTTCAATAATGTTTTTCAATTTTAATCCAAGTTTCTGGCCTCATCGACAAGGCTATTCAAGAATTCGTATCATATAAAAAAAACCCTTGATGTGCTTGGAATTTGAATTTGAATGATTATTAAGACTGTTGACCGTGACTTTGGTCTTGACTTCCATTTCATGAAACAATCCCTCGTGTACTTGATCAGTCAAAACTATTAAAAATCGTTATGAGGAAGTTCATCACCGATTCTCATTTAATTTCCAGTCAACACGATCAACAAATCATTAAAATACCCCTCTTATTATCGTAATTATAAAACTACGGTGGCGAACAACTGTGTGCATGTCCCTGTATTTCTGTCACTTCCTGCAATTAAACTGAAAAAGCTCGTCCCGATTGACCATCGGTTTCGCCAACTAATCAATCGAATTCCAGGTGTTGCTGTCGGCTCTGCTGTCCCTCGGGGCTGCGAGCCCAATAACCGTGCCGTCCCAGTCGGACAACTTTCATCACAGCCAACAACTTCTCGTCCCCATCTTCCGGCAGCAGATCGAGCACTTTTTGCAGCAGCGGCTCGCCGATCGCTCTGATCCGCATCACAATCATCAGAAGCGCCAGCACCAGCTGCAACACTTCGAATCGGACTACAGTAACACGTACGAGGCGACCAACAGCATCAACCCGGAAGCCGAGGCGTCCAGCCAGGAGCAGCAGCAGCAACAGGGTTCCCACCAATTTATAAACCAACAGCACCAGCCGCATGACTATTCGGCCTTTACGAATTTCCATAGCGAGAACCAGCAGAACCAGGACCAACAAGATCTCGACGTTGGTGGCAACAACGAGGCGGAGCTGGGTGATTTTGGGGGTAGGCACGGCTTACTCGCCAACAGACCGCACTACGTGCAGAGCGAGCCCGTGTCCAAGCACGTACAAGTTTCAAACCCGGTGGTCGTGCCAGTTTACAAGAAAATCGGTAATTTCAAAGTATCTCGTGTTAACTCGACTGGGCCACCTTTTTGAGTCTTCCTCTTGGTTTGGTCATTCGAAGGGACTTGGTAAAGCGTATCTATCGGCAAAAGCAGTGCATTTATCTCCTGCTATTTGCAAACTTGCAGGAGAGGATGATCGGTTCAAGGACTATGGATTACACCGCAGAAGGATCGGGATGCGAGTGTGGTTTTTTCCTTTGGCTCTTAGGAGTTTACGTAGAAATGCGAGCTTTTTAGGAGTAGAGCTAAAAGGGAAAGCTGCTTCTCATGCTTGCTTACGAAGGGTTTTCGATGGTCGGTGAATTTGTGGATACTTGCTTGATCGATTGCGAGAGATCTTGTTAAGGGTCTTGCTCCGATTTACATTGTCCTTCGAAAATCTTTTCGCTTTGTATGTTTTGTCCCATTACGCTGGAATTTGCAGTTATCATACTTTATAGTTTACTATTTGGGGAATTATGTGATGGAGAAGGTTATCACTATAAGTACTTCGATCGTATTAACTACTTACATCGTACAAATAATACTTGCAAATCTAACAATATGAATTTCTAAATGCATGGAAAAATTGTTCTTGCTAATACTTTTTCTCCCGGTTAAGAATCATTCACATTCGGTGGATAACAATTTTTTAATGATTTAGAAAAAATGTGTTGTGCCTTATTGAGGATCAAAATACAACTTTAAGAATTTATTTTTATCTGTGGAGGTATACGTTTCTCTCTTTCACTGTACATCAAAACATCTGTTAGTATTTCTATTTAGTTTCTCCTTTTTAAAGAGAATTGTTTTTTTCTGGTAATACTTTTTTTCCTTATTCTAATCAACAGTATTGAGCAATGAAACAATTTTTTTTGTAGTTGTGAAGATAAATTTATAGCTGTTTTAAGTCTTGTTTAAATAATTTGGAAAATCAAGGTAGTTCGTAGAACAAATAATGCGTGGCAAAACTTTTGAGTTAGAAGATCTTGAACCTTAGATAGTTTTTTGAATCATTTAAAAACCATTGGGTGTATCGTTATCATAAAAAAAGAATCACTCTGACTTTTTTATCGCGGAAATGGTTTTTTTTTTTTTTTATTTATACGTCTTTACAGGACTATTTTTTTTTGAATTTATTGAACATGATTCTAAGAATCAAAAATAAAAAATCTCAACGAGAGTAAAAAAATGGATGTAAATAACGATAAAGTTTTTAATGTACGTTGGTGACAATGAGTTTGTTCTTACGTTGTATACATGACTTTTAAAGAAAAATAGTATGAACTTTAAAGGGTAAAGAAATTTCATTTACAGCGTTATTAATAAGCAATTAAAATTTAGTTTGGTAGATAACTAAAAACAAGGTAAAATCAAAATCAATTCAATCAAAATCGAATCAAGGTAAAAAAAAAATTAATGTAACACAATCAAGTACCTTTACTTCTCCCACTTGGAATGCAAATTTAGAAATTACTTTTAATTTTTTAATAGATAATAAATTATTTTATTTTCCCAACAACAAATGTAACAACTTAGATGCTGGAGTTGAAATTATTTTCTCAATACGTATTTTATTTCAGGAGTCCCAGTGTTTCACCCTGTGAGGATCCCAGTATTTCGCCCAGTAACCGTTGGTGTACCTCAGGTCAAATTAAAAAATTGTAGTTAACTCATTATTTTAATTAATTTGGTAACAATAAAACTCTTCTGTATTTATAGCCTTATCCAGTGGCAGTACCTGTTTCTCACCCGGTAGCAGTACCAGTTATAAAGACAGTTGCAGTAAAAGTGGAAAAGAAGGTATTTATTTACATTTAAAATTGAATATAGTTATTTGAAATCAATTCCATTTTACTTCCATTTCGATTCGACTAACTATGTTATGAAGTATATATACTTAAATATATCAATATTGATATTTATTTTTAATATACAAGGTTCATGCCACTATTAAATAGATTAAAAATTTAAAAGTATTTTGTTACATAACAACCTAATCTCCATTTAATTACTTTTAGAAAATTGATTGACTCAACATAAAACTATTTTGGCTATTGATTCCTGGATAGAATCAATTAAGATAAAATTTAAAAAATCTCAGTTATTAATTAATACAATTGAATGAAAGCATCTAATTACACATGTTTTACTAATAAATAAGTATTAAAGAATGAGTAAACAGAAATAGTTTAAGCATTTAAAATAAAAACTAATATAAAGTCTAACGATTTAAAATACATTAAGACCAGCTAAGAAAGTTAAAATTTTTTAATTAGTTTCCAAGATTGTTATCCAGAATTTTTTTTAATGATAGTACACTTTTTCATACTATTATTATTTTTTTTTTTTTCNTTTTTTATCAAACGCAGTAGTGAAGTATTATTTTTTTGTTATATCGATTTATCACTTTAATTTAGAACGTTGTTGTGATATTTTTCCAAAGGAAATTAATTAATTACAAGTAATAACAAAAATTGTTTCTAAACTTGTTCCCTAATTTTTTGATAAATTTTACATACTGGCATAAAAAGGAAGTGGCTAACAAATAATTTCACCCTTAATTATTAAAATATTTCATCTACATCTTCAGATAAGATAATTACTAAATAGTATGAAGTGAGTACACCCTCTGTGTATCACAAAAATTATTATATTTTTTAAATTGTTTGATTCACTAGAAAAATGAAGAACTTGTAATATAATGCTAAATATCTATTGCTTTGTATTGCTTTGTTTCTATGCATTATTATGTTAGTTATATTGTAAGGATTTAATTAATAAAGCTTTGGAATTTTTTTTACAAGGGAAAGCAAAAATTAAGTTGGTATTAATATTGAACAAAAATGACCCAAAAGTTACAACGTTCATAAGTACAGAAAATTATTGAGCTAGTAGAAAATTATTTCAAGATTATTTGGTAATAAAATTTTGTTAATATAGATCCATATAACTGGAATCGAATTGGCGATGTACCTGAGAAAAAATTGATTAATGGACTCGAAGCCTGGCTGGCGGAAGTTATTGTTGGAAAAGATCATCATGGGCTAGTAAAACCTATTATTAAAGAAATAGGTAAGTAGATTTCAGACACTTAGTGACTGGAGTTTGAATTGACATCAGTGCCAAGACGTTATCATTTTCAGCCTATCCAGTGTACAAAAACATGGAAATAAAGATTCCATATCCTCAAATTCAGCAGGAGCGTCAGCCTTATCCAATTTTAGTTCCAATGATTCATCCAGTCCCTTACGAGGTAAATTTTTTAACTGTTAAGTAACTGTTACCCTCCGGAAGCGAAATTTTTTGTTGTTGTGTTTATTGAAAAATATTTTATTTACAGTATTTAAAATCATAACAAATAAGTATTCAACTGACATAAGTAAAGTAAAGTAATATCAATGTAATTAATTTAGTTTCTTTATAAATCATCAGAAACATAAATTAACTATGACTGGTTAAAGTGATAACAACAAATAATGAAACTTTTTTTCCAAATAATATAAATTAATTAAACTGACGTGAATAATTTTTAAATAGAACAATACAAGAATACATTATTCATAAATTGTTAATTGTATACACTTTTGAATAGTGATCATTTAGTTTTATCGAAAAAAAAATACACAAATTTGTTGATTCTAGGTAATCAAAACAATTGTGAAGACCGTTGAAAAAAAAGTTCCAACGCCAATAGAGAAGATTATCCCCGTTGCATCTGAGAAACCAGTTCCATTTGAAGTGATCAAACATGTACCTATGTTTTACGAGCAGAAAATTCCTATTAAGATTCCAGTTTATAAAACAATTCATCATAAAATAATTGATTCAAGAAAATAAATGTAGCCTCTATAGAGATGTACTTCTTTGACACAGATAAAGAAATATAAATTAGAATACATATAAGTCCTTGGAAAAGGAATCTTACGGAGTGTTCAACCTATGAAATTAAGAAATTTAAGTTAGTTTATATATACACATATAGATATAATGTGTTTTGGATTTTTACATAACAATTAACTCCAGCAGATATAACTTAGAAGATTAACAAATATTATTTTAGTATCATTCATATAGTCGTTAAATGTATCGAAAGTCTAAAAAAATTTTGAAGTATGGGTTATGTATATATACTACAATATACTACAAATGTGTGGAGTAAATCATTTTGATATGCTTTAATAAAATAAGTCATTATGCATTTGGCCTAGGTTTCTACAATGATAGCACTTAGAAAATAAGATTATATTTCCTCTATAAATTATAAAACTAAATTTTTGTACGACTAAGCGGAAAAATCGAAAGTATAGACTCAATTTCGAAAATCAATAACGTAAACGATTATTGTGGTCATAAATGGGTTTCAAACGCTTTTGGGAAAAAAAAAAAAAAAAAAAAAACTGTTTACAGTAAAAGTCAACTATTTTGCAGAAACTACTAAAAATCAGAACTGAACCAAGTGAGCTAGAGGAAGCTACATTTTTTAAAATTTTATTTTATGGGGAATTAAAAATAAAAGTTATAAACTTTGAACTATCATATACTCGTGTATAGCAGACAAAGAGGAACATCTTTTATGAACAAAAAGCAATTTTTTTTTTCAAAAAACCAATTGATTATCTATAAAAAATTTGAAGACATTCAACTACAGGTTAGATGACGACAATAAAACAGAAAATGCCAAATAATTACGTGGTGTGATAAATTCACGACAAAAATTACATTTGTGACGTAAATCGCAATCTTACAAAACTAAGGCAATTCCACGTGTGCATGCAAATGGTGCGATTAATGAAACCGAGTTCAACATCCTGGGCGTCGTTAAACGCACAAATCACTCCAGTGCGATCCTACGTGAGGAAAAGTACAGCTCGAAGATTTCATATTATACATCACTAGTGCAGAGAAATGCCCACGCGCACACCTACCCAGCCGCAAAAAAATATGCACGTGGAATCTCACTGTTGGTTTTCTCGGTGAATACACTTACCCGCTAATTGCGCGTAACGGAGCAAGCACATGCACACAGTCAATTTGGATCGGGTGTACGCGCATGTTCACGAAGCCACGTAATTGCACATATGTGTATTGTACACATACATGGACACACGAGTGAACGGAAAAATGTGTAAACCCACAGAGTTGGGCTTTCGCTACGATTTGCAGTATACGTAAGTAGTTCAAAAATCGGCGAGGGGAGAAAGTACTGGCCAAAGATTGAACTGAGATTGGATAAAAGTTTAAATCGCTTATGGGCGCGGATGGCCGCTGAAAAGGTGCTTATATATCGGTCAAGATCGTTCGTCCGGCCAATCGCTTTTTGCCCAACTTAATCTACTGAGCAACAGTGGGACTTCTCGTGTGCACTGCTGTGGGCACAGCAGCTGGTGAAACGCTTTTGATTGAGCACGTTCGTGCCTTAATGGTTTTTAATCTTTTTCGGAAATGATTATCATCCAAATGGTTCGGTAAACTCTGCAATTTTTGTACCGTTGAGGTGCGCGTGATAAATAATAACGAAAGTTGGTTGGGTTACTGTAGTGGTCGTAGGAAACCAAGAGTCAACGAGCTCGTTTTTGTTATTTAGAATTTTTATTATTTTAGAACATAATTCTATTGTAATTTTCTTTCTAACTGTAACAAATGATGTAAGAACAGTTATTAAAATTCAAACGTTTTCAAAAGATACAAAAATTTCAGAAAATGTAATACCTTTCTGTTCCTGTGTTGCTGTATTTTTTAAATGTTTTAAATTTTCAAAAAACATCTCCAAAGAAAGATNAAAAATTTTTCAAGTAGTAGTGAAAAGTAAAGAAACTGATTAAAATATTATCCGCTAAGATCAGTTTTTTTATCGTTATTACATTGTATTAGTAGTTAATTTATTTAATATTTCAAAAATCCCTAACACCAAGGGGACGCCATAAAAAATAATTGCTGAATGATAATACATAACGAATGATGACAAAGCCAATCATCAATAAATCATAACAATTCTGTCTTGATGTACATAACTAATATTATATGGATTAAAAAAATAAAAGCGTTTTCATCATAAATATTGCCATACACCAGTACAGGCAGTAACAAATAAACATTAATGGGTGCCGCATGAAAAAAAATAAACGGCGAAAGTTGATTATCAAAGAGAAAGGATAAACGAAGGAAAAGAGGAGAGGAGAAAAAAATCGTGGGAACAAAATTGTACGGAGAGTTAACAAGAGCGGTCTTTTCAAGCTTCCTAGACAAAGACAAATACGTTTCTATCATTTTGTAAAGTAGTACAGGAAGTACCACTATTTTTTGACCGCATTTCGAGCAAGGTGCCGAAGACAAAAAATTTCTCCTGTGGCATGCAAAAAAAGTTTCGGTTTTATTATTTCATATAATATTTATTGAAAAGACAAGTATATTTATTCTTTATGTTAGATTCCATCCATTATTGACATTTTTACGAATCGTCTACTTTTATTATTTCACAAAAATAAGTGAATCTTTATTTTTTGTACACACACATTTGTTCTACAGCGTAGGAATAAAAGACGTTTTGACCTATTTAACAATTTTATGAAAAACGTAGGTTACAAAAAACATAATATGACATCTTCAACATTATCGTGTATTTTTAGGGACTATTTTTTAACAAAATTTCTACTCTGTTAGAATACTAGAAACTGTAACGTACGGTTATTGATCCATTTATCAAAATAAATCAGTATTTGCTATTTTTATAGGATGATGAAAAAGGAGGGAAAGTAAAAATTCTACTCCCAGTACAGGTTTGAAATTGATTTTTTGTTAGTTGTAGAAGAAAAATTCTGCTAGAATGATAATAAGATTCACTTTCTTTTTAATTCATTTATGTCTTGTATTTCTCAAGATGTTTGTAGTACATACTTATTTATAAGTAGAGTGATTGTTATAACTAGTCAATTCCAAACTAAATTATTCGTACTTGAATCTGTTACTGTTAAAAAAAAAACAAAAAATTACTTTTGGTAATAGTTTAAGTATAAAAATTGTTTTTAGATATCAAGAGTTTTTTTAAAACTTCATCAATTTAAGAAAAAACTCTTTTTTCTCTCTTTATCTTTCACACTCAACGTTTGTGTACTGAAAAGAGATTCGAAAACACAAAAAGGAGCTCTGGAGTAAGGGAGGTGGAAGCGATGAAAGTATATAAGCTTAGCATGCTCCAGCTTGAGCCGCTCATAAGAACTTCTTCCGTATTGTGAAATAAGATCAACCAGACCCCGTTGAAATGTATAGTATTGTTAGTTCAATATTACAGTTTTTTACCGTAATATTAATAAATTGCCAAAATTAAGTAATAACTTGAAAATTTAATTTGAAACTATTTACGTTTGGCAGTCTTTGAAACACTCATCTTATTAAATATAACCTAAATCAATATACTTTTATCTAAATAATCTAAGACCAAGATTTCTATCAGTCACAATAAAAGAAGTCGATATAAATAATAACTGTTTTACAAGTTCAAAATAAAAAGAAGTTTTTATTTATAAAAATATTGATATTTAATTACTTTATAGGGATTTATCTTACTAATTTGTGCATCATTGTCAACTGCAAGTGAATATGAAGGTCCCAGTTACGAAGAAAAAACACATACTGTCGAAGTACCAATTTACAAGAAATATGGTGAGAG